TGGAAAGGCAGTTGCAGAAACGGGCCAAGGAGGCGGACAAGATGGCTACAACAATTGGATCAGGGCCCAAGTCCATTGCTGGGGCCCTTGGACTTATCTACCTAGCCCAGACAGGCTTTTTCTGGACAGCCTCCCATAGCCATATCTCCAATGAGCACTGCCTGGCGAAGCCCAGAGGCAACCTTCACCCCTATGGCCGCCGGTTTAAGACAGGAGGAGGGATTACCTGAGACTATTCCCATCTAAATGAGGCAATGGATGGAGATGGCAATTCAAAAGGGCATTGTGGTTGGAATTCAGCAATCCATCCGGACCAGACACTTTTCGGCTACTTCGGAAGCGGGATCCCTGTCTGCTCGATCCTTTGTGTATATGGGACAATATCAAACTCAGGTATTCCCCAATTTCCCTGACATACCAGTCCAGGGTCTTTGGGAGGAGGTAGAATTAGATGACCAGGATGTTCCCATGGAGGTGGGGTCGATCCATCAGATGGACTTGGGGTTGTCAGAGGCTGATCCACTAGAACAAGGAATGTCAGATGACAAAGGCCTCATTCCGGACCAACCTACCTTTTCTGGTCTTTTTCGTCTGCACCTCTTTAAATCTTTATTGTTCAAGGCAAAGAACACCGCTAAACTAGGCACATCAAGTCCTCATCCATTGTCAACAGGGTCTCAGAACGAATCCGGGGACCTAATCTCACAACCGGCTAATGAGGCAGAAACTATTCCTGTCCCTTGTATGTTTGCTGAATTAGTACAAAATCAATGGGCATCAGCAGCATCCTACCCAGCCCCAACAGGGTACGATAAACGATATTATAATTTGACTGGCCTCTTCTTCAACCTTTCCCAATGAAGCTGAGGAAAAGAGAGCACAGTTGGCACTCCGTAGGGCGCACGTTTCTGACGCCTGGGCCATTAGGGCAGCTACAGCTGCATCCTTTTTTAAACGGACCTCCCTACGATGGCTCTTCCACTTGAGGGATATATTGCTGGCGTCAAATGTTAGAGCCCACCAGGACATTGCTAAGATTATTGCAGCGGCAGAATTCTCTGCCGACGCCACATTTAATGCAGTCAAATTCTCGTCTAGAGCCATAGCATCTCACATGTCAGCTCAGAGACTGCTATGGCTCAGACATTGGCAGGTGGATACCAAGCATAAATGCAAGCTGTCATCAGCCCCAATATCGGGGGATAAATTATTTGGCAGTGTCTTGGAGCCTCTGCTTATTGAGAATAGAAACAAGAAAAAAGTGCTTCTCCCTCTTTTTCAGAGGTCTGAAAACAGAACGCCCCAGTTGTTTCGAAGGGGTCCCTTTCGGCCCTACTATCAAGGTCCATACATTCCCAGATCGTAGAGAACATCAGGCTACAGGCCCAGTTTTAGACAGGTGAGGTCTGAATCTTCCGATAGAGGTCAGTGGGGAGGCCAAAACAGAAACCCCAGAGGTACCGGAGGCCGATTTTTTCATCGCCCCAAGTGAGTCCTTGACAGGAGTCCCATTGGAGGGTGGCTAAAATTGTTTGCTGATCAATGGGACAGCTCCACCTCTGATGCGTGGGTCAGGGACACTGTTAGGTTTGGTTTGGCACTAGAGTTTCAATCCTCGCCCCCGAACTTTTTCATTAGGAGTGCTAGGTCCACGGACCCCATTTAGAGCGTTGATGCAGGAGGTTATCATCATCTTCTGCATATTCGGGCCATTAGGGAGGTCCCATCTGAACAAGGGGTCAAGGCTGTTATTCTATATTGTTTGTGGTCCCAAAGAGTTTGGGGGGCTGGAGGGCAATTCTGGACCTCAAATGTCTGAACAGATCATTGGTTTATTGAAAATTCAAGATGACTACTCTCCAGTCCATTCTGCTCAGCATCAGAGAGAACGATGTCCTGACCTCTATAGATCTCACAGAGGATTATCTACATATACCAATTAGACCCGCTCACTACAAATATCTTAGATTTTGCTATTGTGATCGGCACTACGAATATATCGCCCTACTATTCGGTCTGGCTTCGGCCCCTAGGACTTTTACCAAGGTCCTAGCGGGTTTGGCTGCCTCCCTGAGGATCAAATCTATTCGTTTACAATGCTATTTGGATGATATTTTAATTTTGTCATCTTCCAGACATCAATCAAATTTGGATACCAAGATTACCCTGGAGACCCTTCAGGGTCACGGTTTTTCCATAAATTGGGATAAAAGCCATTTGATCCCCTCAACTAGGTTAGTTCATTTAGGGGCAGTGATAGATACCGTGGAGGGCAAGGTTTTTCTCTCTTAGGACAGGTTGAATAGTATCCAGTCTTTGGCCAGAGAGATCAGAGCCTTAAAGAGGGTTTTCCTTGCAGTTCTGTCTCAACTGTTAGGGAAACTGATTTTTTGTATTTCCACTGTGCCTTGGGCTCAGTTCTATTCTAGAGATCTACAATGGTTCCTGCTACCGTTCCAGTGATCCGGAAGAGCCACTTCCAACATCTGGATAAAGGTACCGCACAATGTTCTCCAATCGCTCCGCTGGTGGTTGGGAAACATGATAAACAAGGAGTGTCAATTCAAGGAACCATGCAGGGCAACGATCACGACCGATGCCAGCCTGATGGGAAGGGGAACTCACTTCCAATCCCACACTGCTCAGGGAATTTGGACTATTTACGAACAATCACAAAACATCAACCTGTTGGAGTTGCAAGCAGTTCATCTGGCGTTACGCAGTTTTCTACCCCTCTTCCAGTCATACCACGTTCTGGTCTTGACAGACAATATAACAACCAAGGCCCACATAAACAGACGGGGGTACCCATTTCAAACTTATGATGCTGGAGACAGCCAGGTTGTTCAAGTGGGCCGAGGCCAATCTGTTGTCGCTCAAGGCAGAGCACATAGCAGGGGCCTTAAACACACAAGCGGACTTGCTCAGCAGGGCCATGATAGATCAGGCAGAGTGGCGCCTATACCCGTCTCTCTTCCAGGAAGCATTGCGGAAGTTTGGGCAACCGGTGATCGATCTATTTGCCTCTCCCCTCAACGCCCAATTGCCCTGGTATATTTCAATGTACCCAACTCAGGGGGTGGAGACTGTCAACGCTCTGCGATGTCAGTGGCCTCCCGGACTTCTGTTTGTGTTTCCTCCACTCCCTGTAATACCCAGGTTGATCCAGAAGTTATTGGAGGAACGAGCGGAATTGATATTGGTCACCCCTTACTGGCCCAAGTGAACATGGTTCGCGGACTTACAGGACCTGTCGAGAAAACAACCTTGGAAAATTCCACTATTGAGGGTTTCCCTCTCGCAAGGGCCAGTACTTCACCCGGACACATAATGGCTCAGCCTAGCCATATGGAGGTTGAGCAGAACTGTTTAAGGACCCAACAGATTTCAGAGGATGCCATTGCCACCATACAAGCATCCAGACGGTCCTCTACAAATCGTATATATGAGGCCACATGGTCCGCTTTCTGTCTCTGGTGCCGGGGGCCTAAGATCAACCCAACTGCCCCATCAACAGGACAATTGTTGGACTTTTTACAGGAGGGGTTGACCAAGGGCCTATCTCCAAATACTTCACTCAGACAGGTGGCGGCCTTAGCCTCGGTGATATCCTGGGGTGACCTTCATTCCATAGCGTACCATCCACATGTCCGCAGCTTTCTTAAGGGTGCTGCAAACTTACGACCTCCTGTAATTCACCGCTATCCCACTTGGGAGCTCAACAAGGTGTTAATCGCACTTACAATTGGCCTGTTCGAGCCTTTAAGAACCGCTAGTCTCAAATTCCTGACATATAAGGTGGTCTTCTTAATTGTGATCACATCAGCAAGGAGGATTTCCAAATTGGCAGCATTGTCGATGAGAAAGGACCCGTGCGTGTTTCATGCGGATTTGGGGAAAACATGTAGTTATGGCCATGCTTGAAGATATGAAAATGTAAATGCTAGCAGAGTGATATTGAAAAAGAGAGCACATTGGATTTTCAAATGAAACCAGCTGAAGTAATAATTGAAGTGGACATACAAATAATAAACCACAAGAATAGAGGTGAAGATGCTTCTTGGATGAGAAGTGAAATGTCTTCAAAGGAAAAAAAAAAACTCCAGTTATTTCTTTAAAAAGCATCTTTGGGACAACTATGACTTGGATGACTGATAATCTCTATTGACATCTTAGAGACTATATCTCTTTTCCAACTCATTCACTCCAATTTTAAAGGATGGCCATATCTATATCTACAACTAAATATGTTCTGAGATGAGCAAATAGAAAAAAAGGGTCTTTTTTTCCTATTTTCTTTTTAGTCTCTGTGCACCATTTATAAAACTCTTTTGCACGTCTTGAAGTTACAGAATTACAGAATTACAGAATTTAGTTTCTTACAAGCTGAAGAAAAGGACTTAATCGGATAAAGTTTGCTTAATTTTTGATCAGTGAGAAAATGTGGATTTCTGAACAAGTGATACTGAATGCTTCCCAGCAACTCTGACTGATTTACCACTTGTTAAATGTTTTTAAATGTTTAATAATAAAAAATAGCACAGATGTATATAACTTGCCATTAAAGTGCTATACAGCTGTGTTTGAAAAACTAGCTAAAGTTAAGGACTAATCTCTGAAGCTGATTTTAATTTACTGCAAATAACAGGCAAGCTATACGTAATGACAATCTAATTAAATATGTTAGAGAACTGTTATAACCTTGCCCTATATTGAAAAAACTTTTCATCTAGTTTCTTGTGATTTAGTAATACTTTAGAAGGCTTGCAGCTATTGATAAAGCTAAGGGATTTCTAAACACTAAAGTGTAATAAATTTAGAGGAATGAAGTCTGTTGTGATAGGTAGTTGTCTTAGGCTGGCCATAGTCTCACTGGCTGAAAGCTATGTAACTGGTGAATTACATGTCTGCAAGTGATGCTGTAGTCGGCAGTGTGTGACAATCCTGAGATGAGAGAAAGATGAATGTAATAATGCATGCTTTGCCTCAATTTCTTTCAGATACTGGCCAGAAGAAGACTATAGACAAGAAAGATGGGAGACGCATGTCTTTTCAAAAGCCAAAAGGGACTATAGAATATATCGTAAGTTGTTGCTCGGGTACATAATTTTCAAGATACACTGAAAATTTGTTAATGGGATTGAGAAGCACTATGCTGAATCTTTTCAAACATAATGTAGAGTAAGTCTCTTAAACTTTCCAGTCTTCCTGTAGATATTATATGCTAATAGTAGATCATTAGTTTTAAAATATATGCCTTATTGTACTTTTAGAAAAATCACCCTTACTGCTTCTAATGCTTTTAATATTGCTAATAATCCACTGAGTATAGATTAATATAATGTTGTCCCATTTTACCAGTGTGATACACAAATATTTTTCTTTTCTTATAAGTTTCATTGACTTATTAATATGTCAGGGATCAGTTTTGTTTTTTAATCATTCAATCATCAGAATGCCGAGTCTATGTGTTCTTCAAATGACCCTTAAGCAGAAATATAGTCAGTGTTAAATTTCTGGTTACTAAGGGAAACTAGAAGTCTGAATTAGGAAATAGTTTATTACATAATACCTATATATTTATGGTTTCTAGATAGAATTTTCAAATTGTACCACTGTAAATCAGTTCAGTGTTTTCATTTTTAAGTAGAAAGGACTTGTTTGAAATGAAACTTAGTAAAAAGCTGGCTATTGGGATTCTATTTCTATGTATGTACTATGAGTATTTTTGTAACAGTTTAAACAGACTTTAGACTTACTCTAAAGTTGTATTGCTCTTTTGCTTTCCATTGCTGAATTTGAGAGATACTGATGAGTATATAACCATAAAATGTAATTAGGAAGTGAATTGGTTCCTTCACTTTAAATGAATTACTTGTATAAACAATCTGATACACAGTGGTATCAGCTAGCACACAGTTCTGCATTTCTAACAAAACTGCTTTGAATGACTTGTATTAAACTACACAAGCAGAGCTTTTGTGTCAATTTCACAGTGTAAGTCTATATAATGTGTGTGTTAGTAAAGTTATCAGATAATAAGCTTGTTAATGAAGTTATTATACACTTAGATTTTGATTTATTTCAGCAGAGGAAAATATAGTCATGGTTTCCAGTAATCAAACTCCTTTCAGTGAATTTGGAAATGTTCAGTTGATAACAAATATAAAATATTTAAGTAATTTGTACCATTGTACCAATTGTAACAAAATTTAGAGTTTTAAGAGGGCATACTACAAAATGGTCTCTAATTACTTTTCCAAGCAATTGAAAATAATGTTGTTAAGACTTTCTATTGCCAACTTCATTATCCTTAAAGTGCTTGTATCAGAGTATTAAAGAGACTGGAAATGTTTCATTTAGTTTTTCCATTTCTATCTCAAAATAACTAATAACTTGTCATTATTACATAGTGTATTAGGACTTCAGTTTGCTTATTGTTTGTTACATATTTTTGACCTGACTTGTTTGTATTTCTATTTTATATTATTCCCAATTCCCAATAATTCTCAAATTATTAATATAAATTTGGAAATATAACAATGTATACAAATTTCTTCTATGTATTTATTCCTTCTCATGAAAATCCTGTTAGCATGTAAGATTAACTTCTGAGAAATCCTCCCTGATAAATACATGCAATACTTGGAAATCTTACTTTTCTATTAAATTATATACAATATTTTCCTTTGGAAAAAAATTATTTGAAAATATCAGAAAGAGGAAACAACTTTTTGGAAAAAATGCTGTAGATGACACACTCTCATAATAATGTACTCCTCTTATCTGAAAAATTCTGGCTTGTTCACTCCAAAAATGGAATATATTTCCTATGATAAGCATTGTAATTAACTTTGAGAACTGCTTTAAATAATTGCTTATCACAATTATAATTGTTTATAAAAAGTAAGACCCATCAATATTCTAGTACCTAAAAACTTGAGCAATGATCAGACTTTTAGTCTGTCCTTTTTTGTTGTTGCTGTTGAGGGTCTGTGAAAAATGTATAATATAATAGGATTTTATCCACTATTTATTAATAAAGAAATAAAAGAAATCATGAGATTAAGAAAAAGAGTACACTTTCCAATCTGTTGTAGAAAGAAGTTCTGAATACTAAAATTCAAACATGTTGCAGTCCTACTTACATGTGAGTTTGAATGTCAGTTTATTTTAAGTTTCTTACAAAGAAATATTGTAGAGCTTACAGTTATATAACTAATCAAAGGACCCTAAATATGGCTTTATCTGTGGAAAGCTTACAATGTTCGAAATTAATGCACTTTTTATTTCTAGTCATATATTTTCAGTAAATATATTTAGGAGTTCATGATCAGTATTAAAATAATCCACAATACACATTTTAATAAACATAATGAAACCCAGTCGTATTCTCCACAATAGATGTTGGCAGTTGTGCCTTGGTAATTAACTGAATCTTGGCCAGGTTTCAATAATTAAAAAAAATAATTCAATAATTAAATAAAATATTTATTTTGTGTTATCATTCTGTATGTTGCCCATAATGATGTGACAAGAAGATAAATGTCTACTCTTCCCCTGTTCCATCTGAAAATATGGTACAACTCATACAATATTCAGAGATTCAACTCTGTTACTTAGGGAATTATAAGGCGATAGAACTTTAGTTCAACTTAGAAATGAATAGAGAGCATGATTCAATACTTGATTCTCCCTTGACAAAGTCATTCAATGAGTAATCTTGACATTTCATTTGTGGAATTATTATACAGTGAGCTTTTGATTTCTTATAGTACATAAATATAGCCATGTTATCTAGTGGTCAGACTCATTTCAGTAAATATCATATTTATCTGATACAGATATGAACTATTTAAGTAATTTGTATCCTTGTATCAATGTTGCAGATTTCAGAGTGCATATATGCAAAATGGTCTGTAATTTATTTTGCAGAAGATTTAAATATTACCCATGTATGGATATATAATCCTATTTGAAGCAAACTGTTGCATTAATTTTTAAAGCCAGAACCATCTAATAAGCCTCCATTTTGTTCAAATTCAGTTTAAATTTATTATCTTTTTCTACTCAAAATTAAGTCTAGATAGTGATTTTTTGCTTGAACCTTACTTGACACAAATGACAAAGAGAAATAGAACTGGGTACCATTCCAATGATCTTTGCCAATTGACCAAAATTCCTCAAGCATTGTAACTGAAACAATAATTTCTATTGCTTGATGTTTGTTTTCAGCAAGCACCATGTTGGCCAATGTTCACATAATTCATTTTTAAAAGAGGGGTTTGTTTGGGGTTTATAATAAGCAAAATGTCTCAATGATCCAGCAGCAAATGCTTCAAAAGTTTTGATATCTATTTGACAAGTAATTGTCTTTCAGCTTCTCCTTAGTATTTACTGAATCTAATTAAAAATCTTTGGTGCACATTAAAAAATAACATTTTTGAATTTTTTTATTAGAAATGAATCAGAAATAGTTGACAGAGCTTGGGACATGGAACCACCATATAAATTATTCATTAATTCTGTTTTAATGAACTGGTATTGCTGTTGGAGAGTAAAGTTTTATTTTAATCTAAACTAATCACATTTTATAATGATTAGTGTTTTGTCCTACTCCCTGCTTCTTTCTTTCTTTGGAATACCAGGTAATCCCCATTTTATGGTAAAAGCAGTTTGTATGTCAAATCGGAAACAGCTTTTCATTCCCAGTGCAGCAGCTAAGAAAAGATTTAAAATTTGAGAAAACTGCATGCTGATTATTAATTTTTAGAAGGCCTTATTTTTTAAAACAATTCTATTAGAATTGGTACTTAAGTAAGTCAAACACTTTTAAATTGTTGCAAATAAAATTGTAGGTATCTTAAATATTTGGTTAGTTGGTCTTTTTATGTTTGAAATTTATTTTGTTTATTTATTTATTAATTATTTGGTTTGTCAATTGCTTACAAGATAATAGGTATAAGTAAAAACATAGTTATAAATACATGGATACATATAAGAAAAATAAAAGAAATAAAAGAAACAATAGGACAGGGACGGTAGGCACGTTGGTGCACTTATGCACATCCCGTACAGACCTCTTAGGAAAGGGGTGAGGTAAATAGTAGACAGTCTAAGGTTAAAGTTTTTGGGGTTTGGGGAAGAAACCACAGAGTCAGGTAGAGTATTCCAGACATTATGTTGTTGAAGTCGTATTTCCTGCAATCAAGTTTGGTGCGATTAACTTTGACTTTGTATCTGTTGTTTGCTCTTGTATTGTTATGGTTGAAGCTGAAGTATTCATTGACAGGCAGGACATTGCAATGCATGAGTTTATATACTATACTTAGATCGGACCGAAGGTGATGTAGTTCTAGGTTTTCTAGGTCTAGAATTTCAAGTCTGGTGGCATAAGGTATTCTGCAACGAGTAGAGGAGTAGAGAACTCTTCTTGTGAAATATTTCTGGACTTTCTCAACTGTGTTAATATCAGATACGTAATGTGGGTTTCAGACTGATGAGCTGTATTCAAGTATTGGTCTAGCAAATGTTTTGTATGCTCTAGATATTAGTGTAATATTACCAGAGAAAAAGCTACGTAAGATTAGGTTAACAACTCTTAACGCCTTTTTGGCTATGTAGTTACAGTGGGCTCTAGCACTTAGATCATTAGAGATGAGTACTCCAAGGTCTTTGACAGAGTTTGGATCATCAACAAGGTCTTGACTATTCAGCCTATATTTTTTTCTGATTTTTTTTTCAATATGTAAGACAGAGCATTTGTTGAGATTTGAAGTTGTCATTTGTTTGACCATTCTGATACATAGTCAAGGTCTTTTTGAAGGATAGCAATATTGTCTGTGATTTTGAATAGCTTTACATCATCAGCGAAGAGAACGCAAATTTATTCAACTCCAGCTTAGTCAGAGCAACTGACTATTGTTTTACTGTATTTCAATCCTACTAATAAGATGCAGGCCTGAACATTTTTCTTGGTTGCTATTTTCTTTTAAAAATAGACAATATAATAATATGCTAGACCTTCAAGAATGTAGGGAAGACTTGATTACATATCATTTAATTGCATTTATGTTCTCTAAACAGGTGGAGTCAAGAGATTCTTTGAATACTGTGGCCTTGAAGTTTGATACTACCCCTAATGAATTGGTGCAGTTAAACAAGCTGTTTTCCAGAGCAGTTGTTCCTGGACAGGTATTGTCTACATGAGATAAATACAGTAAAACTAGATGAAGAGTAATCAATAGTTTATTGAACATTACATCTATTCCTTCCTTTGGCGATGATTATCTTAACATTAGCGGATCAGGAAGAAGGGATAAGCAGAGAACTCGCTGGCTTGTTACCATCAAAGCTGATACGAAGATGAACATCCAACAACTGAAAGAAGTTATGCTTGACAGGGTAGTATGGAGAACTCTTGCTTATAAAGTCAACAAGAGTCAGACATGACTGAATGGTTAAAACTAACTAATTAATCTTGTGACATGGAGGAGAATTGTAAAATATTGGAGAGTAATACAGTGGAGCCCCTGCCACAAATAAATTGGCATCAAACCTTAAAATTTGTTTGGGTACAGAATATGGCAGGAGTAGGTTTGGATTAAAGCTGAAACTCCAGATCCGCTTTGAAAATTTAAATAGAAAATAATCATGGTTACAAGTTATCCTATGTAATAGGACAATTCTGTAATTCAAGAATGAGGGCATATATTTAACATTTTTCAAAGTTTTATTAAAAAATAATTTATGTACAGATTCTATAAAAGGGAAATAAAGTCTGCTGGAGTAAACATAACATGAATGAAATTTATATCACATATAAATGTGGATATGAAATCTAAGCAAACTCTAAAAGCTAATTGAAGATAAACACAGTAAAATATGTATCATCCACAAGGCATTTCATGAAATATCTGACAATATAATAACTTCTGTACCAGTTCTAAATGCCTACTGATTTATGCAAAAACAAATTTTTGATCACAATATTAAAAAGTTTGCAGTTCTCTGCAAGACATTTATGCAGATACGTCTTTTTGAGCCTTGTGCAAATAATGTTTTACTTTTTAAATAATATATAAATCAGTTAAATCAGATTTAATCAACATGTGTTTTTATAGGTGTTATATGTTCCTGATCCAGAGTATTTTTCCAGTGTGGAGAGTTCCCCCTCACTTAGTCCTGAAAGTCCTTTGTCACCTACATCTTCAGAAGCTGAAGCTGAGAAGACAGCTGTAAGTGTGTAAATATTTCTCCCCCAAGGAAGTATTCCTGAAGAGTAGTCAAATTGTAGTATGCAGGCCTCATTGTTCTGATCAGAACTGAGACACACTGATAAAAAAATCTATTTTCATTTTCGAATAGTTTGGAATGTTGATGTGGATGTTAACAGCACTGTCTTGAATGTTGGTACTTTTAATATTAAATAAAACTATAATACACATTTTTCTATATTGCTTTGTGAAATACTTTTATATACGTTTCATATACCAACTTGTGATTTAATACTTCTGTGATTTAATACTTCTGTAGAATTCATTCCCAACACATATGGTAATAGTCGTTTTAAAATGACTCATTTTTATCATTTACTTGCTTTGAACCTCTCTCTTATACTACATGGGTTTGGCAAGGATAAGCCTACATTTATAAAACACATCCCATTTTTGGTTCCATCACTGAAATTTTTGTTTTTGTAGGATTCAGATGGGGCACAAAAGAAAGAAACAACAGCCATACCAGCATATCCGTGTGTTCGGTCTACAAGGGTTGTGTCATCCACGTCAGAAGAAGAGGAAGCTTTCACAGAAAAATTTCTCAAAATCAATTGTAAATACATTACTAGTAATAAGGTACATAATGATACATTTCTTACATAAAATGTGTTAATGTACCTAAATTATTTGAGAATTTTCCTTTTATTGGGATGGAATAATTTTGGTAATTAATTGATATTAGCTATAAATAGAAGTTAACCTTAAAACTATATCAAAGCTATACATTACCATACTAAATTCATCCACTTTGTCACAGTAATGATGGCAATATCTAATAAAAAACGTAGCAGCTGAGTTGAAAGATGCAACAGAAGATACACATGGATTTTTATTGACTATGTAGATAATAGAGTCTTGTCATCCTTTTATAAATAGCATATTTGTAAAGAATCTTGTATATATGCTTCCACAATCTTAATATTTAGACTATCTTTTCTGTTCTCAGACAATAGGAAGGAATACTCGTGGGTTATCTTAAAAATGTTAGAGAATTCTTATCCAGTTGTACTATAGAAACATTAATTCACTTCAGGCATTGAAATTTAATAGACACGGCCCAAACCAAGCAAGTTCCATTTAAAATTACATGTTTATTGAAGAAGAGGATGTTCCCTGAATTTAAGATGATCTTCCCAAAAGGAAGACAAACAAGAAAACAAAACCTTCACAAGCAGGAAATCCTTATAGTGTCTAACTTTCCCTCTTTATCAATTTATTATTAGCAATTCCAGAAGAATCTAATGTCTTCCTAAGAAAATGTGTGCATAGGTTTTATTGTGTGTCTGTGTGTGTAACTTACAGAAGTCATACTCTCCTCAAAAAAAAAATGGAGCAGAGGCACTGTTAGAATAAGGGGCAAAAAGTACTAAATACTGCCTCTTAGAAAGATATCCCAATTAATTAATTAATTAATTTTCCATCTGCATTTATTCAAGATTGCTGCTCACATACGAAAAACTCTTGTAGCGAATTACTCAAAATTGCATTCATATTCACTTTCCTCCTTCCAGCAAGGAAAGGCAATAAAGAAAAGAAACATGATAGAAACTAGGTCAATGAGGGCAAACCTTTTCGGCACCGAGTGCCCAAACCGGAATGCGCATGCATGTGTGTGTGCCGAACACCAGAAACCCGAAGACCAGCTGGCCAGTGCACGCATGCCTGGTTTTTTGGCCATTTTGGGGGCCATTTTTCAGGTCATTTTTGGCCATTTTCTGAACCATTTTCAGGCCCTTTTTGGGGCTGTTTTCAGGCTGTTTTTTTTTTACCGTTTTCAGGTCATTTTTTGGCCTTGAAAATGGCCTTGAAAAACGGCCTGGTTTGGGGGCATTTTTGGGGCCATTTCTGGTGCTCCAGCACCTGTGAAAACCAGTTGGCTGGTGCTCATGTGCATGTCATAAACCAGAAGACCAGCTGGCGATGATGCACATGCCTACAGAGAGGGCTCTGCGTGCCATCTCTGGCACGTGTGCCATAGGTTCATCATCACAGAACTAGGTAGTGGAAATGCTGCTATTCTTGAGAATACCTTTTTCTTACACAATATGAAAAGCTGCTGCTGCTTAAAACAGGAATGATTAACTGGCTGAAATGTATGAGTTTTTCTTTCCCTCTCTAGTTTCCTCGCTTCATCTTGCTTGTATCAACTTCTGTTTCCTCCTTTTTTCATCCTTTCCTTTCTTTGACCTAATCAACAACACGCAAAATATTTTTCTCTGTGGATTTTCCTTATGATAGTAAAAGGATAAAGTAAAAACATATCAGTTCTCCAATCTGTACTAGATCTAACTCAATCCATATCCTGCCTTTGTGCCTCTTTTTCCTTCTGACGTTTCCTATGGAGAACTGAATAAAAGTCAAGAATTTTAACATAACTGTCCAAAATAAATACTTCTGAATATCTGCAAGCCTAAAAGAGAAAAACCAAATTGATCTTATAAGTAAAAGCTTTACTTCAAATGAGAATTTGTTTTATTTATTTACTTGATTCTTAACTTCATTATATATTTAGGAATGATATTTTTGAAATATTTCTTTCTAGATTGTTACATAGACTTCAGTCTATTTAGTTTCGTGTGTGTGTGAGAGAGAGAGAGAGGGAAGGGGTGGATTTTCTTACCTTTTCCCAATCTTATTTATTGTGTATTTATTGAATCTCCCTTTACTGTTGTATACATTGTATACATCTTAAACAGTATACAATAGAACCTCTGGTCATGAGCACTTCTGACCACAACCAAATAGAGTTCTGACCAAAAAATTCACAATTTTTTTTTTGGTGGCTGATTTCCCCTTTAGCACCATTTTTTTTGTAAGTACCAAATTTCCAAAATTAGGTTCAGGTCACAACCAAATCGGGTTGGGTTTCAACCAAAGTTATGGAACAAATTATGGTCGTGACTGGAGGTTCTACTATATATAGCACACCTTTCTGCTTCTTCAGAGCTCTATAACCTTTTCAAATGCAAGCAATTCATATCTGTAGAAATGCAGAGGAATATTTCCTTTTTAGGGATAGCATCTTGAAAAAAATCAGTGTTTATATATTGATAAAGGCTTCATTAAAATTAACCACAATTTCATAAAGTCTTTGAAATATGTAACATATGTAACATTGATATCATTTGTTGCATTACTTATAAAATTACTGCTTTTAAAAAAATGTTTTATATTATATCGAAATATAACTGCTGAAATGTTAAGTTTATACTAAGGTTCATTTATTCAATTAAACAATTTAAATGCAAAATTATTTTACAGTACCATCTTACAATATCTCTGAATTATGGTTTAATGTTAACTAGGCAAAACTGTTTTTCCTTAAATATTATATTTTCCAGGAATTTACAATTTTTCATGGTTTATAAGAAAGCTGAATGTGTTTGTTAGACTTTAATAGAAGTGCTCAGAATTCATTAAGTAATGAAGTGAATAGGTCACTTCTAGACATAATTTGAAAAGATTTGGTTTTGATTGCAGGAAGTTTTATTGTTTTTCTCCTTATCATAGGGAACTGTCACCGGTGTGCTCCTAGTGACACCAAACAATATAATGTTTGATCCACATAAAACAGATCCCTTGGTTCAACAAAATGGCTGTGAAGAGTATGGTATCATGTGTCCAATGGAAGAAGTGATGTCAGCTGCTATGTATAAAGATGCTGATGGCAAAATACAGGATTCGTTACCCATGTAAGATAGATTAGTGTATGTATGTGTACACATCTCTATCTCTCTGTGTGGGAGTCAAATGAAAGAAACTGCATTTGCATGGCAGCTGTATACAGTAATCATCAAATCTCCCTATGTTGTTTTCCTGAGACAAAAAACAACAACAACCCCACACCACTGTTTTTATGAACTTTTGGAACAAAGAAGTTTGGACTCACTAAATAAGTTTTTGAGAATTACACCAGAGCTTTTAAAATTAGCACAATTTCCTTTCTATGCAGAAGCATTAAAAATCAAAGTTTATGAGGAGCTTACTAGTCATTGAATCTAAATTATTATTTTATGGCTTTTAGAAAGTTATTTGAGGCATGTTTTCTGATTTGACATGTTAACCAGATCCTCATATTATATACATGGCTTTGTGACCAGATTTATTAATCACTTTTAATAAAATATTGGTTGTTTTTTGTGACACAATTTTGTGATATAAGTAGAACTTTGTTTCATTTATTAGTATGGAATTCTCCATGCAAATTCTTTTCCATAGGATTTGCCCTAAATAAAGGTTTTTTTTTAAAGCCTGTAAGTACAAAAATATAAATTGGAAAATTGGTTTTTTTCAACAACTTGCAGAAGTTAAATTACCTACAGCAACTACAACAAGAATGAGGAATTCTGTCCCTCACAAGGTAGCTCAGTGAGTTACTTACATTTGAATATAAGATATAAGATTATTCTATAAAGAATCCTTTCCTGTGCTACAGATGGGCTACAAATTAGGCTTTCTCCATTGTATGCCACACATGGAATACAATGCCCACAGAGCTGTGTCTGGCTCTCTCTTTTCTAACATCCAAGTTTTTAAAGACCATCCTTTTTAAGTAGGCTCATGATACCTAGCTATTGTAAGTCCCATCCTGTTTATTTGTACTTGTGTTTTATGTATTTATTAAACAACTGGGATACCTCTTTGTTTTATTGTATACCACTCAAGCTAATAGAATTGAGTATTATAGACAACTTTTGCAATAAATAAATCTTGTCCACTGCTAATAGGGTGGGAGGTGGGGGATGTTCTCTACAGAGATATGTTGCATAACTGTTTAATGAATAGTTATCAAACTGGTTCTATTAAAATGATCCCAGTTTTAAAAAAAAGTTATGTGCATTTTGTTTTCTCAGGTTATAACACAGAGGTCTTCTTTACTTTTTAGTGATGTAGGTCAGTTATCTGTAAAAGATCTCTGCCACTTCAAGAAAATTACCAGAAGTAATACTGATGAAATGGAATTAAGAATGAGAGATACAGGAAATGATAGTGCCAGTACTGCTCCAAGGAGTACAGAAGAATCTCTGTCAGAAGATGTTTTCACTGAGTCAGAACTGTCTCCTATTCGGGAAGAGATTCTGGATGATCTTCGACAAGACAAATCTTCTGGAGCTTCGTCTGAATCTGTCCAGACAGTAAACCACACTGGCAGAGAATATGTAAAGGATATTTTAGACTCTGTTAATAATATTGGGAATGTAAATTCCAATGGAAAACAGCCTTTGAATGATGGTAGTACTTCCGTTAATGATACTGTGGACTCAAAAGCAGTGGAGAAAGCAATAGAAGAAGTACAGAATATTGTAGAAGGATCTATTTCTGATGCTGAAGCACAACATGGAACATGTCAGGAACCAGTAGAAGGAAATGTACCAGAGGATGAGCAGCATTTGGATTCTGAAAAAACTGATTCTCAAAAAGAGGCCACAAATGAAAGGGAAACTGTGAAACTGCCAACTCAAGATTCTGAGACAGACACAGAGATTCTGCGGAAGCTTTGGAAGAGCCATACTATGCAACAAACCAAACAGCAACGGGATACCATCCACCAGGAAGTGCATAAAGAAATGAAACACAAAATGACAACAGTAGATGGAACTATAGAAGGTAAGAATTTAAAGTTAATATAGTATAACAAAAAAAACCTCAATAAACCTTAATTACTCTTTGTGTATATAGTAAACACTGGTTGGAAAAAATGTCATATTCCCAATTTTATTGTAGTCAAAATGCATTAGGGGGTAATGTGAAATGTACTATTTCTGAAGGATCTGATATCTGTGAGAGAAAGCAAAAGACAGCCTAGTGTTACTTTTAGCAACATATTTCTGTATTGTGAAGAGTCTTGTCACTCTTGATAATCCGTAATCATTATAATCATCATCAATTCAGAATCAAATCTGGGTTGGTCTCAGTGATCTGACTGGCTAACAACTAGTATAAACAATAAAAACAGGTTATTCAAAAAATATTAAAATTATCCATTATCTGTTTAAAAACACAAAATCATAATCAGCTGCAAACTTCATTTATGTTAGCTCAGTTCAACTATTGGAAGAACTCCCCATGGTTGCTGGTGCACGCATGTTGGCAAAGCCATGTGTTCAAGGCCTTCCTAGAGACTTAGAGGCTATTTTGACCCAACCTGGTTCCAAGAGAGCAAACGCAAGACAAAGGCAGTAGCTCCCACCTTTTTAGATTTAATCCATGAATTCTGCTTCTTCACAGATAAAAGGCTGCTTCCAACTAATTAGCTTCGACAAGAAAGAGCCTTGCCAAGTTGTTTGTCAAGGCTGCCAAAAACCCTGAGATAAGAATTAGTTTACAAGACTTTTCAAATACTATGATGTCCACAAGGATGTCCAAAGAAGCTTCAGAGCATCTTTGCCTTCTTCAAAGAACACTTCTTCAAACCTGGCTTTTATCCTCTTGAAGGAGTGGCCATTACCTTGCAGCCTTACGCCCGAGTCGCCTGTGCTGCTGTAACTGCTCTCTCCTACAATCAATCCTGCACACACACGCACTTGGCACAGGCTCCTCGAGAACCTCCTCATCACTGCTGCCAGCCCCCACAATCTCTGAAGGCAGCAGTCCACTCCCTAATGGTCCTGGCCCCTCATCTGATTCCTCGCTCTCCTCCACCATCAGCACCTGCTGCCGGCTAATCAAAACAGAGGAATGAGACCAATCTAAGATCAGGGATGGATAATGTTCCACAGGGCAGTCCCCATGGCAGCAAAGAGTCTCTTCCTGGGATCCACCAGATGACACTCTTTTGTAGATGGGACATGTAACATGGCTCTCTTTCTGGTTCTGGATGCTTTTTGATGGCAATCTGTTCTCTGTTTTTGTTACCTTCCCTGCTACATCCCTTACCTGACATTCCATCTTTCATTTGCATCTCATTTATAAATATATCAGTTTCTACTTGCTAATCCTTGCCTCTTATTTTTCTAGAACTTATTGGATTCTTGCAGTCCATGGTAATCTTAGTAACCTGTCTCTATTTCCCTAATTCAAAACATTTCCCTTTTACGTCTTGGTCATTTTCAATGTACAGTTTTCAAACTATTTCTTTATTATTAGTGGCAAAATCATAGCTTTAACTATTTGGTATCTATTGTCAGAAATATCTTTATTTTTAAGCTATGTAAGTTTGCACAAACATTAAAATGAATTAAAAGAATCTAAATCATTAGAGTAAATTATACATAAATACAGGATGGGAATCATATTCATTCCAGGCTCATTGCCTTCTGTATTTTGAACCACTTTCCCCCCCAAACTTAATTTCTTAAAGTGGTTTGTTGTTTATGATAAAGGTTCCTCAAAAGAATGATCACGTGTATTGGTATGCCATTCAAACTTAATATACATACTATTTTACATAATTTATACAAAGATTATGCTGGATAAATAAAGCAAAGGTATATTTTAAATTCACTTGTTCTCTCAATTGATCATGTTACATTTCTAGATCATATAACTTTTACTTGTGTTGTTGACAAAGAGCTGTTAGCACTTTTAACTGCCTTTTATGCCATTAAAGAGTTTAATGGAGGTTTCATCTGGGCCTGGTATTTTTGACTGCTGGTTTATTGCCTCCCATATCTTACTTTGCAGCGTGGCTGTTTCTGAACATACAGTATTGTTTTTACAAATGTTTCTATTTTTAGTATCAATTTTAAATATTTTTAATAGTTTTTCCATCTCCCCTTAAGCAAATCTTATCTCACTAGCATAGTTTCCACATTTATGTTTAATTAGTCCTACTTTTAACCATAAATTTCTTATGAAACGCTATGGTGCTAAAAGTGTTCTGTTTCTAAAAGTTACTTCTGTCAGTGTTGATAGAATATGGTTGCAGCAAGCAAGGATACACATAGTAATATGTTTCCTGGATAGTATTAGTTATTAGGACTTTTTAAATCTATACTTTGTATTTAAATAGATTCATCATGATGACTTGGCTTCATGCTTTTGCATTGAGGCTTAGCCCCTCCCCTTCACATGAAATTCATTTCTTCCAGAACAAAAACACACAAACATATAGAGCAGTTTGTGAGAGCACATGTTTGAAAATATGCAGGTGATTTTGATATTTGAGAGGATCATTCTTTAGAAATGTTTCTTCTGCTGGCCAATTGTTAGCCCCTCAAGATAGGTAAGGGTCAATAGACAAGCACAGGAAGGAATGTTCTTCATTATTAATTTATGGGGTGAAATAACAAATCTTGAAAACAGACGAATTTCTCTCTGTCCCGTTTTAAAATCAGGGTGGTGTTACTTTTAGTTCTTTCTCAAACTTTTGTTTCTTTCTCAGAGTCTGGGTTACCTTTTGTGAAAGTCTCCCCTTGACAATGTCAGGGTTACATTCTTTTGTGCTGATAACATTGTCGTAAATGAATGATGCAACATTTGTTGTATGTTCATATATCATAAAAGTTAGTGGAGATAACTTTAGTCACAGTAGCTAATTTAATTGTAGTTTAGAGAGCAGGAACTCATTTGTTGCATCATATGTTGGAATGCATAGTCCGGCAACTGAGGGTTGGGCTATATAGGAAGCATAGCTGCAAATGTAAGGTAATGTGTTTAATAAAGGAAAACAAGTGATGTAAACTTCCTATGTTTAAATGTTTACATCCACCTATTTTCTTTTTCTTTTTCCCTCTAGGTTGGGGCTTAAGAAATATAGTCAATATTTTAAGACATGCAAAATACTTGTTGTGCTACAGCTCTCCCAAAATAAGAAATATGGGCCTGATTTTAGGAATTTGTAGTTTCATGGTGTCTTAAGTCTCTGCAGTGGTTTGATGAATCCATTTCACTATTTATTTTACAGATTTGAGATCTGAAATTAGATTAGAGGAGGTGTAAACAGAGAGTTAGATGTTCATATGTAACCTTCTTAACTGCAAATTGCTCACCCATGTTATAATAGTTGAACTTAATATTAAGCAGAGTAACAATATCTAATCAGCTTTTAAAGGTACACCCAGATTTATCTAGTAATTAATGTAATATTTAATAATTAGCAAAGCAAAATTGCTAACCACAGTCTGGCATTTTATCTCTTTATAAAAGGTCCTCTAATAAAAGAGAAGAGAAGACATCGATTATACAAGTTCTTGTGTCTCAAAGTCGGCAAGCCAATGCGAAAAACGTTTGTATCACAGGCAAGTGCATTGATGCAGCAATATGCACAAAGAGATAAGAAGCATGAATATTGGTTTGCTGTGCCATCAGAAAGGTAAGATGGATATTTTCTATGTATGTTTATTGTAGAGGAAAACTTTATCTTTCCATTTCTAAATTGATATTAAATCTATCTTCATATTAAGATAATTCCACATCCTTCTGAATTTAAAGGTTACAACTATACAAAAAATATTATTTTATTGTCTCTTACCATGTCATTGTTCTTAATTCAGTGTGTGGGGTTTTTGCTGAATTGTTGCTTGTTTCTTAATATTTTCAGAATATTTCTTAGTATACTCTGTGTTTATTGAAATTCGCCATTTTTTTCTAGTGGATTAAATTGTAGTAAATTGTAGTAAATTTAAGTAAATGATATAGAGATTATAGCAGGCCTGACTCCTTAACTGTATATGAGATACCATTGTCTTATTGAAATGATCATCCAAACAATGGATCATTTATTATGAAATTATATCGGGCTACATTTTTTGTACTGTTCTCACAACAATAGTAATTTAGGTATTGTTTTCTTGTTAATTGCCTCTTTAAAGATAGTCTTTTCTTATCAATCAATCATTCAGCCACTATTTGGCACTGCACATATGCTATTTACGACTAATCCTTAAGTTCTGGCCATTACAGGGTCCTCTCAGTCACATGATTGTGATTTGGGCATATGACAACTGGTTCGCAGTTGTGGTGGTTGAAGTGTCTTATGGTCAGGTGCTCACTTTTTGGAACCTTCTCTGATGGCTTCTCTCAAGTAGAAGCCAGCAAAGAAGGTCACAAGTCACTCTGTTAAATCCCCCCATACTTCCTTTGCTCATGTCAAGCTGTGGCCTGGTAACCTTATTTTTATATCTTTTAACCAGACTTGACAGAGTGATGCTGCCAAGGTTCTTTTCCACAGTTAGTTAAGTGATGGAAATTTGATGAATAATAAGAGAATCAGAATTTCTGTAGGTCTCAATCTCTTCTGAAACAGAATGTCTAGAATCACCACTTTCTCAGTGATATCCAGAGGAAGGATTATTAATTTTTTTCTCTTGTTATGTGTTTCTTATAAGCATCTGCTTGGACACTCTAGGAAGAACGTGCCAGACTAGATGAGCAAACATCTGTCATGGCTGCTTATAAATTCTTAAACTTTGATTTCTAGTATCATATAGTTGTGTCTTTCCTGTCATGTCCTTTTCTTCTAAAGAAACAAATCCCTTGAATCAAGCTTGACTATGTTGCCTAAATACTAAGCAAGTCCTACCCAACTTAGCTAGTTGTCTAATCCTGCCAATTAGATGAGTTGTCCTATTCACTTCTTGTTTTTCCTAATGAAACTAAGAAAACCCTTTTCAGATTTATAATCTGTTGAGGATGCCATAATCGGTACTAGTTATGTGCTGAGATACTGAAAATATTGTTCACCATAGTTTTAGCTTACTTTATATGAATATATACTTTCCCTTGATTTTCAAAGAAAACATGAGTAACCGACAGTGAAACGATAAGTGAGTTACTACTTAAAAAACAATATTTCCAAGTCTGTGCACGTCTGAATGGGTATCAATTTATTTTTCATTTTCCCTTTCAAAGGACTGAACATCTGTATGCATTTTTTGTTCAGTGGAGTCCAGAAATATATGCAGAAGATACAGGAGAATCAAATAGAGAGCCAGGATTTATCGTAGTAAAAAAAATTGAAACTCAGGCTGGGGAAGATTCAGTTAATGAAACAGCTGTTAAGGAGTGGGAGGTAAGTAAATGCTAGTTATCAACTTTAGAAAACACATCATTTGTTTAAAATTGTTTAATTTCTACATGGAAGAGTTTCATCAACTAATATTATTAAAAAGTTGTAAATACATGTTTATCTAATGACTGCATAGTTCAATTTTTCTCAGTGTGGTACATTAGTCTGAGTATCTCAATGTATAATTCTGTTTGCTTTTTGTGACTGTAGCAAAGGTCAGGCAGCAGTTACATGTATACATATGTAACAAATAGTTTGTTTATTTAAACATGAAAATCTAAAAGGTTAGAGGTGATTTGAAATAATAACAAGAGCAGTAAGCATTTTGCTTTCCAATCTTTAATTCCCTAGCAGCTTTTTTTTCACTGATCACTGGGAAAGAATTGGACATTTCTCAGTTGTTAATACCGCTTGTTTTCTTACTCAATTCCAGTAAAATATCTCCATGTTTTTCTCCAATTTACAAACATTATTTCAGACTTTCAGACATGCAGTTATTAATTTGAAAAATCAGTACTACCATAATATACATTATAAATAGAGGATTTTTGGCTTATTATTACTCAAGGTGGTTTCTACATATATTAATATAGTACAAATAATATTGCAAATAAGAATAGATATGGATATAATGGGTATTAAATATCAGAAACCTGGGAAAGTCTCTATTTTCCACAATAATAATTCAAAAACATGCCTTCCTTAATTTGCATTCATATTTTAAACAGTACATTTTTATGTATTGTGTAATATTGTGACTAGTTTATTGTTCATCTTTATTTCAAAGCCATTTTTCAAAACAAAATCACAATATTCAAAATAGTAAAAACAATTTATAATGAGGTGTTAAAACATAAGCAATCCATTTAACACTTCAACAGACATAATACAAAAATCACAAATTAAAATGAAGATTCTAGATAATTTTGAATCAAATCTGAAGGTATTAGGCTTGGTGCTAATGATATCTAAACAAGATTGGTATTATATTATTTTCGTGAAATTGTGAAATCCTCAATTGTTACTTGGATAGTTCAGGAACTAGAACAGTGTTACTGGGAGGGGGGTGCAGATGAATGCCTTGGCCTATGATTCATATTCTTAAGATATCAACAAAAGGTCACAAAAATTTCAATTGCATCTAGCAGAACTGAATAGATGCCAAAATAACATGTCACTGCAGTAAAAGTACCATAAACTACATAAGGCCCAGGAATATACCCAGAATGTATGCATACCAAAGTTCACTATCTCAAGCCATATAGATAAGGTACTCCAAAAGATTGTAATCAGGTAGGCAGAGGAGTATACAAGCATGTAGTGAATACAAAATAGTCTGTAAATACACACATGGTTTCTTCGTTATAATTTCATAACAACAATAGGAGCTTAGAAATAAGTTTAAACAAAAAAATGGTGTATGTAGAAAGAGAGTCAACAGTGTCAAAATGATGGGAACAACCAGGCAAAGACCTGCCCATTTTAATGTGTATTGTACACACCAATGGGCAAGTGGCAGAATTTTGATTATGTCAGTCACAGCCATAATTTTGAAACCTTGCACAAATGTATTCCTCCCAATATTCCCATTAAATAACTATACAACAATCTAGAAGACTGCTTGGATATTTGTTTCTATTCTGTATATTGTCCTACAAACCAACTATTCAGTTGTCAGGATGCTGAATTTTTAGAATGCCTTTTGAAAGTAGAACCTGTTTTATTTTAAGACATCTTAAAGCTTAAAAAAGCAGAAAATGCATAGAGTGCATTTGTAAACTTAACCACAGCACATCAACAAAACCAACATTACATTGATCATTCTTTATGTTAACTCTTTGTTTCTTTTACCCATGCTCTGATATTTTCCTCTGTATTTCAACTTTAGGTGTTCATAGGTCTTTTACTTTTATTGAATTTGGGTTACAATGCTACTTCGTGTTCTTCCTTTTCTTCTAAGAAGCCAATTCTTAATAATTAATTGTTTGCTGGAACAAGATATTCTTGACACCAGTAGGCCAACTATTTTTAAATTAGAAGCTTCATCTCAATTTTTATTCTTTTGGATTAATACATTTTTATACTGGTTAACATTTGGACTGGAACACTGTCCTGATCCATTAATTGCAAGTGTCCTATTCTTAGTGGCCTCAGTATGATGCATTGGTTGTTGTTTGTTCTTAATTAATAGGTATAAGTTGTTGTCAGGATCAGTGAATGTAAGGCTTAATTTTCCTTCTAAGCCTTGGTAACATCACTTATTAACCTTTCCCAATATTTTTAGAAACTTCAGAAAAAACTTTTTATCAATGCTGGGCTATGGAAATTGAACAAGATTGGTAATAGGCTGGGAAGAAAAAGTTCTTCTTTATCATTCTTAATAATATTTAAGGCAAGATTATAACTGGGACAAAAAGCTGTAACCCAACATTAAGCATTTTTGTTTTTTCCCTCAAGCTGTTCACATAAAAAGTATCTCAAAGGTCTATGGCTTATTTTGTCTTGTACCACTTTTTTTTCTACAGTTCCACTATGGTAGAACTATATAATTAGACATTTGCTTAACAAAAAGGGAAAAAATTACTGTGTATCCAAAAGAGTTTGGGGTGGACTTTGTGGGAAGAAATGGTGAACTAAGGACAGTTCTGTTAAAAGCACTGCAGCAGAATGTTGAGCTTGTGAGTGGAGAGGCTCTTTGATAATCTTCTCAGCACAAGAAGACTCAAGATTGACCACAAGCACTTCAGACAGTTGTTACTCGCAAGGCCACAAGACGGCCATCTCTAGCAAGTTGAAAGTTCTGCAAGACAAGGAAGTAACCATCTTGTTAAAAGTGCAGTTGGCACCTTCAGAATGGGGTAGCATAGTTCTTTTTCTAAAATTGCTTGTTAACTGCTTTTTAACTATTAGGAACCTTTGGATTAACAAATCTGAAACCTCCAGGTGAATTTTCTTCAATCTTTAATGAAAGAAGCTTTAAATACAAGTTTAAGGATTTATAAACAAAACAAAACAAAACAGAATAAATAGTGCAAAAGGTATGTAGTAGTTTGATTTTGGAATGTTACAAAACACTAGATGTTTGAAATGAATTTGAAATGAAAGAAATTTAGAATTAATTATAAAAGTTCTTTCCACGGGAAACTGTTTTTGTTTTGAATTTTTTGAAAAAAAACATGATTGAATGAGACTTTAAAGTTGGGACATGATAGGAAACCAGTAGGAAATAAAGATTACAATTAAAGGAGATCACTTAAATTTTCCTTACTAATACAGAATGGAGCAAAATAGCATTGGATACATTGGCCGGTGTTAGAGTGACCTGGATAATTTTGTTATATTTGATTTACAAAAGAGATTTGTTAAAGCTTTGAAAACCTTGTGTAAGAAGAGACAAAGAAAAAAATGAAATTGAGTGTAAGACATTTGAAGGGACTAAAGATCAAGATTGTTAAAAGTATAAGGGAAGACTATATAGTTGGCTTATTTGATTCAGGTTAAAACACATGTTGTTATGTCTGATAACCCTTAATAGAACTTGTATCTTCAAAGTAGTTATAAACATTGCCCGGGGCCTGTATGAATGCCAAATGAATTACAAGGTTTGTGGAATATCATAATTTAATTGTTAGTAGCTGTTAGAAAGCTATAATGTATATGCATTGATATAAACTAATGTCCTGTGGAGCTCTGTTTAATAATGCATACATTTATTTTATTACATCTTGTGTAATTCATGTGGCTGTGAAACTTTTCCCCTTTGAAATATTCTAAAGCAGAGGTCTCAAGCTCAATTTCATTGAGGGCCGCATCAGGGCTGTGATTGACCTCAGGGGGCCGGCCATGGCTGACTGGGTGGGCAAGACCAGCTTGACACCACTCCCCAAATTGCTGGCATGTTTCCTCTTTACATGGGTAGACTGGGCCGAAGTCCTGCTGGCCTGATCTTTCTTCTTTGCACTGGGTAGATCAGGACAGCCTCATGGGCTGGATCTGACCACATTACGGGCTGGATCCAGCCTGCTGACCTTGAGATTGACACCGCTGTTCTAAAGCAAGCAAGAGTAGCAGATTTTTTTCTAATCCATTCTCATGAAGCTGCCAAATGTATAAGGGAACAGCCAGTATACCATATACTATCACCCTAGAAGACCTCCTTTCTGCTTCTAGAATACATTGCAAAACGTAGGCTTGTATGGGAGAGAAGATGGCACTTTTTTTCTATATGCAAAATTAAAAGGAAAAGTCTTGACTTCTAATTAAACCTTTTTACAAAAGCTTAAGGAGAGTTAAACATTATTTATCATTCTAGAACTGGAGCAGAAAACCTGTTTCTGAACTAAAATTTCAGATAGTAGGACCAGTGGTAATATATGTTGGGAGTTGTGGTTTACAACAATTGCAGGTTAAAGAAAATTAAGTGAATTCAACAGAAGAAAAAGTTTGCACCAAGTAGGATTTGTATTGATACAGTTCTTCTCTAATTTTTGAATCCTATGTCAAATTGGTGGTAAAAGCATATTTGAAGTATTACTTTATGCTTCAAGAACAGTAGTAATACATATAGTTCTCTTCAGCTGAGGTTTTTTTTTTCCCAGGTAGAGGATTACATTTGTTTGAACTTGTAATTCAGAAAAAAATAACTGAACTGTAAGGGTTGTCCATTAATAGCAATTAATCTCAGCAAAAGCTGTTTTATTTTTATGTTTTAGTTTTATTTTTAAAAACAAAAAGGATTAGGTTTGATAAATTTCTCATTGGATTCTAAAAGAGTAGTGTGTCTCTTTAAACTTTTTTGCTCTAAAGCACTTTAGTGCACTGCAACCTCCCTTGAATAGAGAAACATCTCTTGTGCTTTTCGTGGTAATGACACACCCCAGGATGAATACTCTGCTCACTCATTAGTTGTTTATCCTGTCAATCAGTTCAATGCAACTAGCACGGTGTTTTGTCTGTAAGGAGAGCTTCGTTGTGCCTGGAATTAAAAGCAGATAGTATGCTGG